AAAAAAAGGAATAAAGTCTACAAAGACACACAACAGTGGTAGTAGGTAGGGTGGTAGAAGGAAGGACTTTTACTTTTTAAACACTATTGAGTTATTTTAACTAAGGCCTGCAATTCCTAGGGGCATAGTGGAATATTTTACATTTTTGAGGGAATCACAGCAGTATTTGACATATGTTGGAACACCATGAACTATTAGCTCAAAGTAGTTCACAGTTTCAGTGTTAGATCATACTATTTCTTTTGTTGTCATATCTTGGTGAAGCTGGATTTTTCAGTGGTTGCTGTGATTTAAAAAAAAAAAAAAAGTACTACCCCAAAACAAAGAGGAATGGGAAATAAGGTTGGCAATACCTAATCTGATTCCAAAGCTTGAAGTGTCTAAAAGGTATTATCTTTACAGTAAATAATTGTGGTAATTTTTTTTTTTAATTTTATTATGTTATGTTAGTCACCATACATTACATCATTAGTTTTTGATGTGGTGGTCCACGATCCATTGTTTTCGTGTAATACCCAGTGCTCCATGCAGTACGTGCCCTCCTTAATACCCATCACCGGGCTAACCAATCCCCCCTCCCCTCTCCCCTCTAAAACCCTGTTTGTTTCTCAAAGTCCATAGTCTCTCATGGGTGGTAATTCTTAAAGAAAGTAATTTTTTTATTTACATTAATTTTTTTCAAATGGCTCTTGCTTAAGGTATAGATAGTTATATATTAAGTAGTTTGGACCTACTACTTAGAAGAACTGTTACGTATTTAGGGTGCCATGAAAAAATTACTGAGATAGAAGGTTGCCTCAAACCCCCCAAGTCTAGAAAGCTCTGGTCATACCTGTCGGCAAGTGTGTGAGTGCCACACACACTTCCACTCAAAATCATGATAATCAACATAATACTTTTCTTGTACTTACCTCAGTGCTTGAAGCAACTAAGGAAAATTCACGAGAGAGATTAAGCTTAACGCCATCAAAATTTATTTCTGAAGGCCTTGCAATTGGGTCAGCACTAAAAACATAAGATGGTCTAGGCACTCCATCTTGATTTAAATCGGATTCCATTCTGCAAGAATAATAGTAACTTTAGATAATTTTAATAAATTAGCATAGAAGCCACCCACAGTTTAAGAATTCTGAGTCCTGTCCACTACTAACCCCCATATAACTAGATTTCCAGAGAAGGAAAACATTAGACTGCCTCATCTATAACATGATGACCCATGGAAAAGACAATGATCAAATTATTTACAGATTCTGAATCAATAATATTGGACACAGCCTACCACTACTATTCATATGACCCAACCTATAGGTAGATTCATCCAAAGAGATTCATGAGTAAAGGTAGCCCATTATGTAAGACAGTATAAAATATTCAATCTCTGCCTGAAATCCTCTCAGAAATCAAGTAAGAGTAAATTATAATCTTCTGTTATTTTAGTTATTTAATGTCTTCTGAGAATGTTACCTACAAACTCTGTAATGTTTTAGCATTTAGGAGTAAAACTCAGTTATCTGGACAATTTAACTCTTTCCACTGAATTCTTCCAAATAATGCAAGCAAAAAGTAAAGTACTGTATGTTAACACATTCAAAACAGAACCTGACACATTATAAGTCTTAAAAATTAAGGTGAATATGGAATAATGCATCAAAATGTTACAACTAAATTAAACCTTAACTAAAAAACTTTTAACATTCTAATAGTTATTGACAATCTGCGAGGTGCATAATACCAGGGAGAAAGAGAGCTCCCTACTGTTCTTTGACAATATTATGAAATATCCAGAACGGTGACTCCCAAACTAGGGTTCATGGCTCAGGAAGGTAGTAATGGGCATCCATATATGTTATATATAAAAAAGCCAAAGATGGCCCTTGTATGTTGTTTACTTCTTAACAGAAGGCCAGAAATGTTAATTCAAAAACCCATTAGTGCCAGACTCAAATTTTTACACATCAATTTGCTTTTAATATAGCCCAAATAACCTTTTTTTTTTCTAAGTCATTTAGAGCCTAACTAGTTTGCACATCCCAGGAAACTATACCCAACTTCTGCTAATCACAAACAAATTCAGGACTATAAAGACCCAAACCACTAATGCCTTTTGGAGTTCTCTGACCCCGGGACTCCCCACTATGCTGCTGAGCAAAATCACTTAAGACCATGAGCCCCAACTCTAATTCTTCCTCTCCTTCCCCTCCCAATCCCCTAATTCCCTTGCCTTTTTCCCCTTCTAGGTAGTGGTCCTTCACTCTACTTTCTGGAAGGTCTCACGCTGTGGGGGACTTCCGTTGCATGCAATCCTGTCAAAGTGCTACCCCAATAAAGCTCCTTATGTGATGCTGCTACACTGTGGTCAGATATTTCTCCTTCATCAGCCCTGAAATCCACAAACTCAATACAACAGGGTTGTTTTTGTTTTTCCTAAATCTCAAAAAGACAAAGGAAATTACTTACTGTCAGCAAAGCCCAACAAACTACAGGACCAACCAACCATACACTTAAACAAGTTTCGTACCTTGGTTGCTTTTGTCTTTATTGTATTAATCAGTGACATAATAAAAATGGGGTAATTACTTAAATACAGTTTGACAGAATATTTCAAACATGCAATGTATGGGTGAAAATTAAGAAAAGGGGTATCCGATAGAGTAAAAATAACCACTAATCTGGAACATAGGGGAAAAGTTTGCAAAAACATTAAAGCACTGGCTTGACATTACATAACTCAGATTTTATGGAAATGCCCACAAAATTGGAAGATAAATTTCACTCTTTGCCGTCAATTAATTTTTGGTTTAAAAAAAAGATAGGGGCGCCTGGGTGGCTCAGTTGGTTAAGCATCTGCCTTCAGCTCGGGTCACGATCCAGGGTCCTGGGATGGGGGGAGCCCCACAGGTGGCTCCCTGCTCAACAGGAACCCTGCTTCTCTCTCTCCCTCAGCCACTCCCCTTGCTTGTGTTCTCTCACTCTCTCTCAAATAAATAAAATCTTTAAAAAAAGAAAAGATAAATCCTTTATTAAATTACTGAATTAAAAATAATTATACCTCTTTTATTTTTTTAATTTTTAATTTTATTTTTTAAAGATTTTATTTATTTATTTGAGAGCGAGAATGAGAGAGAGAGAGAGAGCGTGAGAGGGGGGAGGGTCAGAGGGAGAAGCAGACTCCCTGTCGAGCAGGGAGCCCGACGCGGGACTCGATCCCGGGACTCCAGGATCATGACCTGAGCCGAAGGCAGTCGCTTAACCAACTGAGCCACCCAGGCGCCCCAATTATACCTCTTTTAAAAAGTAAGGTTATAGTATTTGTACTTGTTCGTATGTTCAGTTTCAATAAACTAACTGCCTCTTAACATTTATAAAATTGGTGAGATGTACCGTCACATCCTGTACTTTTGGTTAACTTCTACTTACGTGTGAGAACTTCTCCCTAACAATACTATAAATCTCTTGACAGCAAGAACTTTTCCTTATACTACTCTGTATCCCCTACAACAAATTCAGAGATGTGTAAGTGATAAAAAAAACTCCCTGTCTAATTACTTAAATAATAATAAAATCCTCTAAACCAAAGAAATATAAATATCAGTACTAGTCTTTTAGTGATACTATCTTTAGCAACAGCAGGCTTCAAGACTTCATTTCTCATTTCTGAAGGCTGTTCTCATGACTGAGAAACTGCATCTTTTACCTTCTCTCCACTGAGATTCCATGGCTGAACACGGGTGAAAGACAACAAATCTGCTACCGAATGAGGTTTCTTAATTTCACCCACAAAATACAGTCTCAAAAGAAGTCTATCATCTAATTGATGAGTCCTTTATGTGACTTTGCAACTTGAAGTCTTGGGTCTTGGACATCTAATAAAATACATATACTGCTACCGCTGCTTCTAGGTAAACATGCCACCTGGTTTTAATAACAAAAGCAACCTGAATCTGGTCACTTGAAGCAAGGATTGCTTAAGGCACGAACCTGGGTCAACTAATCCTTCAGCAAAGAATATTAGAGAGTGTGTCAGGCAGGAATCACTGAAGCAGGAAGTGGAAGGAGCTGGGGGGAAACATTCTAAACGGGATGAGAGCAGTCATTGAGTTCGCCACACACACCCCCTTCCGCTAGGTACTGCAAAGCCCAAGACTGCAAGCCCCAGGCACCGGCAGCAGCCTGGAAATAAACACACAGACGGCCACGACAGGGCTCCCTGCAAAAAGAGGTCATATCACCTGCCAAGCAAACTGCTCACCTCGGGGATTCAGAAAACTAGGCTTGACAATGGAGATCTGCGCCTCAACAACAGCAGCAGCAAAGCAATAATAAAAACATTAATGACTGCAAACACTTGGTGCCTAATATATACTGGCACTGTTTCTAACAACTTTACATATTATTTTATCTTCACAAGAGCCGGAAAAAGCGATACTATTATTACTACCCCTTTTAACAGATGACCCAGAGAGATTAAATATGTTGCGTTGCCTCACTCAGTGCGGTGGAGACAAGATTAAGCTCCATCCCAAGTAGTATGGCTCAACCCTACGATGCGCAGGCGGTGCCCATGGTCCCCAGGAGCACCCACCGCACTACAACCCAGTTCCTGAGAGTGACCTCAGGGGGATCGCGTTTCCCGTGGGAAGGTACTCATACTACCAGCGCCGTTTTCCCAGCCTCAGGCCTCGTATGTGCGCAATCACGCACCTCCTTCCTGGAACCCTCACCTGGATGCACCTCTTCACCTGCAAAAGTCGTCTGGCCTGCCCAACCTGCGCGCAGTTCCCTGATGTTTTCGTTTTCAAATTCAAACAATGGCGGCGAAGTCAGCGCACGGAACGCTGGGAGTGGGCGGAGCTTCCGGAACGACGCCCGGGAGCGCAGAGGCTCGAGCGGTGGGCTTCCCACCTGCTCCCGGAAGAAGCTTTCAAATCTGGGGCGGGTCTCGGAACGCCGGCAGTCACTGGGCGGAGGGGGCTGGTGGGCGGCCGGCGAGGGGAGGGTTGGGAGTCCGCGCGGAGTCAGGTGTGCAGCGCGGGCTGGGGCGCTGCCTGGTGGCTGCGGCCGGTAGCACCTCTGATGGCACGGACGCCTGTCTCGGATACTATCCTGGAGACGAGCGAAGGCCTGGAGGTGAGGCCGCTGCCACCGCACTTAGCCCCGTGACTCCCCCAGGGACGGGCAGAGGAATGGCGAGCTAGCCTCTGCCCCGGCGTGCCCCTGCAGGAGGGAGCGACTTCGCCTCCCGAGAGTCGCTTAGAATTAGGGCTGCCCGCACCCGGAGGGCCACTTCTTTCGCTGCCTGACCCCACCTGTCATCCCCAGCGGTCCTCATGGACGAAATAAGTTTCCCCCAGAATAGACATTTATAGGCATTTTCTTTTTCCTTCTTCGTCGTCTTTTTTTTTTTTTTTCTTTTTTGCCATTCTGAAAATATAAAGCACCTACCGCTGCCAGGCGCTGTGCTGTGACAGTCTAAATTCCATGCGTAGGCAAGGTCTTTGCTCAAAACGTTAAGTGCCGGCACAAGCCTTATCTGCTTCTTTTAAAGTGATCCTCTTCTTTCGAGTGTGGGGCAATAATATTCATGACAAGCATTTATTACTTAGGCCGACTCTCCCTGCTGTGCTTGATTTTAAAGAAAAATAACTGCTAAGGTTAATTGAAATTTTACCTTGTGCCAGTCATGGTATTAAGCATATAAAGTGGATCGTCTTACTAATCCTGAGAACAGCCCTTTGAGGTAGGTACTATTATTATCCGCATTTTATAGATTCGGAGGAAACTGAGTTCATATGGTTAAGTAATTTGCTAAAAAGCATATGGCTATTAAGGGAGGAGCTGGGAATCAAATTCAGCAGGATAATTTCATAGACCCACCCTCTTACATGTGGTCTTATTTTTTACTATTTTACTTGGTTAGCTACAGTTTTAGAAAACCTACTTTGATGAGCTTAGGGTCTTCCTTACCTTATCATTCTATATATGGCCTTCAGTTTACCCTTTCTCTGGCTAACTTCCCACTGTCTCCTCATTCAGTTCACTTTCTTTTCCCACAAAATCATCATTTGAAGTGAGCGAATTTGGAGTAGAGGAGAGGATGCAGGGCCAGGAGTTAAAATGAACAGAGAAAGTCATTGTAAAGGGGAAGACAGGAGGAAAGATAAAATAGAAACTATGTTTTCCTGTCCAGGCTGAAACTCAAGTCTTTAGTGGGCTCTGTGTCAAAGTCTCCATTGCTCCTTCAGTCATGTCTATCCCTAAATCTGTGTTTCTTGTCATACCTCATAATGCCTTTATTGCTTTTATTTTAAGATTTTATTTATTTATTTATTTATTTATTTATTTATTTATTTGAAAGAGAGAGAGAGAGCACAAGCAGCGGGGAGGGCAGAGGAAGAGAGAGAAGCAGACTCCCTGATGAGCAGGGAGCCCAACCCATGACCCTGAGATCATGACCAGAGCTGAAGCAGATGCTTATGCAACTAAGCCACCCAGGCACCCCTGCCTTTCTTTCTTTTACTAGCTGTTACTGATTCCCACCTCTTGAACCCTCCAGGTGCTATGTTTATTCATTATTTGACAAATACTTATTGAAAACCTGCTATGTGTCAAACACTAGGCTGCAATTTAGGGAAACAGTGGAGGAGAGTAAGCAAAATAGACACTAACCCTCAAGGAGCTTACATTCTAATGGGAGAGATAATCAAGTTAAAAAATACAAATAACTGAGAAATTACAACTGTACTGAGTGGTTTGAAGGAAAATATTCTAAGAGCTGTAAGACTATGTCACAGGGAATCTGAGCAAATAATGTTTGATCTGGATCTCCAGGGCTCATTAGGAAATTAACCAGGTTTTAAAGAGAGAGAGGAGTAAGCATTCCAGGCATAAGACAAATAATACCAGACACAGAGGAAGCAAAAAATAAAAAAATAAAAATCCAATGGATTCTCTTATTTTTATCTCGCTCCCAGAAGCAGCCACACAGTTAAATGCTTGAGCCTTGCCACACTCATTTGGCTTCTGGGTCAGTAAAAAGTCACTTTGTCCTTGTTTACTCCTGACCTTACTAACCACCTGTCTTAATCTCTTTTCTATCTCTTCTACCTAAGCTCTAAATTATGGGCATCCTCAGAGCTTGGTCCTGAGCCCACCTTTTTCTCTCCTCTATAGTCTTCCTCTTGGCAACCTCATCAACTCCCATGGATTTAAGTATCTTTATACTTACTGGTGACTTCCAAATTCCTTGTCCTCTCCAGACCTCTCCTCTGAACACCAACCAGATGCAAATATCTGAGTACCCACTTAACATCTCTACTTGGATGTATAACAGATATCAGTAACTTAATATATTCAATATGGGATGTTGATTTTTCACTTCAAACCCCAAATTCTCTCCTCCCTAATCTCCGTCTCAGTGAATGACACCACCATGTCTCTGCCCAGTTTACTCAAGACAAATAAGAGAATCATCCTTGGATCCTCCTTTTCCCTCAGCAGCCTCACTCAGTTCATAAACAAATGTATCTATTGTGCTTTTGTCTTATAAGTAAAATAAACACCTGTTTCCCTTTTCATTGACCACCATAGCCTCCCAACTTGTCTCCCTGCTTAAGATCCTGCTCTCCTCCCCAACATTCTTTGTAGAGTAACCAAACTAATCTCAAAATGTAAATGATCAAGTCACTCCCTGGCTTAAAGCCCTTCGGTGATTTCAGAAGAAAATCATATTTATATTTTTAAGGGAAGAAAACAGATGCAAAAGAACTTACAAAATACACTAACTTTTGTGTAAGAAAGAAGAAATGAAAGTCTACATATATATATATATATATATATATATATATATATAAATACCACACAGATACACATACGTTTGACCTGCTTTTTAAGAGGTAAGTTCAAAAACTAAATCAGAAAATTAGCTGAAAATGGTTACCTATGGGGATGGAAATGTTTTGCAAGGACTAATGATGGCAGTGTGGCTTCTCTGAATAATGTTTTTTTAAATATAGTTTTGCATTTTCAAAACATTAAATCTAAAGCCATAGAAATAAAAGCAAGCCCTAAAATTTCATACAAAGAAAGAAATGAACATACTTGAATATCAAATTGCCAGCATAACCATAGAGTCAATTAATTGAGCACAGTATACTCCATGAACTGGAGTTAGGAGTTGTGGGATAGAGTGTAAGAGCAAAACAGTGCAAAGAAATCAGTAACTTCACTTAGTAGGTTTGATGTTGAAAGGGATATTGGTACAGCAATTTTGAAACTACTATGCATGCGTTATAGGAAAAAGCAAATGAGTAAATATATTTATGTTGCTTAGAACCGAAGTTCTCACTATGGGAGGAGAAAGATAACAAATATGGAATGATAGAGGCTAAGGAAGAATCCCATAGAGTTGGATTTGAATTGGTGGTAGTAAAATAAAGTTATGATTTTTTTTTTTATCTCAGTTGGTCCATTGACAGGGCCTAGAAGCATAGAAACCCTGACACCCCAGTGAGAATAAGCACACCTAGCAACAAGCCACCCACGTGGTTTCTAAACACCATTCATCACTAAAAGGAATCAGTGCTCCTTGGAGAGAAGGCTGATTCACATCTGGAGCAAGGAAATTGCAAAATGAGCCTGGAACATTCTTCTCAGAAAGCAAAGAAGTCCTTAGAGATTAATAGGGTCATTTCAAAGATATTGGACCTGGATTAACGGAGCTTCTGTTGACCACACTTGGAACAATTTGAGCATTGAAAAGAATAATAATGATGGTGAGAGACCAAAACAGATTTAATTTTTTTTAAGTTCTCTCCATGAAAGAAAGAGGGAGAGATGAAATAAAAACAAAAAGTTCTTCTATACATAAGAATGCTAGTTAATGAATACAAATAAAACAATAAATAGAAAATCCCCATTTTGGGGCACCTGGGTGGCTCAGTCGTTAAGCATCTACTTCGGCTCAGGTCGTGATCCCAGGGTCCTGGGATCGAGCCCTGCATCGGGCTCCCTGCTTGCTTCTCCCTCTGCCTGCTTCTCTCCCTGCTTGTGCTCTCTCTTTCTCTCTCTCCCTCTGACAAATATATAAAATCTTTTAATAAATTGATATGGGTAAACCTTATCAATACATGCCGAAACAGGGGATGAAAGACGCTAAAATCATTGGCTGAAAGGTTGTTGGGGAACAGGACATTAACACTATCTCAAAGAGTGTCCTAGAGACTAGTTCATAATTATCAACATAGAGATTTATTTGTTAGACATACCTTAACTAAATGAGGAAACTTAACATCACCAACAATGGAGCAATTTATCACTTGATGGTATCTGTGCCAGAAATGTTTAACCTAAATCTACTTATGAGGAAACAAAACAAAACAAAAAGAATATAGAACACTTTACAAGACAACAGGCCTAGGTTCTTCAAAAAGTGTCAGGGAAAAAGAAAAAAACAAGGTGGATGATTGCATTAGTCAGGAGACAAACATTACAAATGAAATTCATAAATCTTGTTTGGTTCATAGTTGTTTTTTTTTAAGAAGTAACTACAGAAAAACATTTTGTGGACAGTTGGAGAAATTTAAATATGGACTATATATTAGATGATACTGAATCAATATTAAATTTTTTGGCGTGTGATAATTTGTGACTATGTAGAAGATTGTTTTGGGACAATACTTGCTTCACTATTCAGCCACTTCAAAAGCTTTGGAAAAAAAAATGAAACAAAACAAAACAAGTGAGAGGGAACAAAAAAATAGGACAAGGAAAATGGGACCAAAAAAGCAAAGTGGCAAAAAGTTAATAACTGCTGGATCTAGGTGAAAGGTATAGCGATGTACATTGTGCCACACTTCTAATTTTTAAAAATAACTTTGAGATTTTCTAAAGTAAAAAAGAAAGGAAAGCATTTTCCAATTCTTTACCATGGCCCACTAGGCCCTGCAGGATCACCTACTACCCAACCTCACTTCCCTCGTCCCTTTGTGCAATGAGGCAGTCTGCCCTGGTTACCTCAACCACACCAGGTTCTTTCTCGCATATATGGACCTTTCCATAGGTTGTTCCCTCCTCCCTATTCATCATGTGGCTCACTGCTCTTCCTCCTTTAGATCTCTCTATAATAGTACCTTCTAAGAGAATACTTCCCGGCCACCTTATCACAATGGACCCTTTTTTTTATTTGCAAGCTCAATTCCACTTTCATACTTATTACAATCAGCAGTTATTATATTCATCTGGTTTTTGTTGTCTTTATTATTCCCCCACCTCCTCAAATATAAGTTCTTTGAGTACAAGAACTGTGTTTCTCCGGTCACTGATGTGTCCTCAATGACTGTATAAATCCATGGTGATCAAATAAATATTTGTTGAACAACGAATGAAGGCGGATGTGGCTGGGGTGAAGACCATGGGGAGGGATGGCCGGAAGCAAGTTTGGAGGGACGGGCCAAGACTGGATCCTACAAAACTCAGTCAACTAAGCACTGATTTGGGTCCTTATTCTAAGAACAGTGGGAAACCAGTGGACTATTTTAAGCATGAGCACAATACAATCTAATTTGCCTCTGTGTTTTGAAAAGGTTAATCTCCTGGAGCAGAGAAAAGAGGCAGCCAAGGAAGAATTGCTGAACCAGTTAGGAGACTACTGCAGCCATCCCAGCAAGAGATGATAATGTGGACTCAGGGGATGGCAGAGCAGACACAGAAAAGTGGACAGGTTGCAGAGGTATTTTTTCCCTATATTTTCCATTTCGGCACCAGCCACTGGGTTTTCCCTTAGAAACAGAGCCAACTTGACAGAGATGCTTCAAATTTCGTCCCCATTCCAAATAATCCCATCTGTCCCCTTGAAGTGAGCATTAGCATAAGATGGAGAAATTGTTAAATTACATCAAGCTGATTTCCTTCCCTCGTCACAGCCTCTGCTGGTAATAGCTACCAGCCACAGCTAACTTTCCACGTGCCAGAGACTGTTCTAAGCACTTTACACTCACTTAATCTTTTTTTTTTTTAAAGATTTTATTTATTTATTCATGAGAGACAGAGACAGAGAGAGAGAGGCAGAGGGAGAAGCAGGCTCCCAAGGAGCAGGAAGCCCGATGCGGGACTCGATCCCAGGACCCTGAGATCATGACCTGAGCCGAAGGCAGACGCTCAACCATCTGAGCCACCCAGGTGCCCTACACTCACTTAATCTTAATGGTAACCCTGTGAGGTGTTTTGTTGTTGTTATCATTCCCAAGAGATGAAGGATCAGGACATAGAAGTTTATTATGAATAAGTGCAGAGATAACCAATAGAGGAAGAAAAAATAACCACAAGGAAAGAACAGGAGAGAAAACTGAGGCAAGGAGCTAGTAAAGAGTAGTAAAGTTACCATAGAGGTTAACATGGAAGTGTTAAGAAGTTTAATTCAGGTAATATTTGTAAAGTACTTATAAAAGTGCCTAACACATATTTAATAGTCACCTCTTAAATGTGTGTAAATAGTAAACAATGGAATTAGAATTGGAATCTGGGTAGTCTGGCTCCAGAGGGTGTACAGTTAACCACTGCATTCTATGGCCTCTCAAAGTTTAGACCCAACAACCCTGTAATTCTACTAAAAGAAGACCCAGTGCCTCCCTTCTGTGCAAAGCCACCACCAAAACTGGGACTGACATAGTTTTTCAGCCCTTAAACTGAGTATATATTGATTACAAAAGTTTGAATGGCAGATTCAACAAAAATTTGTCAAGTATCCAATATGTATCAAATGTTTCTACCCTTAAGAAGCCTTCAGTCCAAAGTAAGCCCTTCTCAGTCTGAGATTTCAAGAATAATTTCTTAAGGTACCCAATATGTGTAATGCATTAATTTCTCTCCTTTGCATCTAGAGTGGTACTACTTCTGTACCATCTGAGAACATTGAGAAAATAATCAACACAAATAATTTTATATGCTCTGTGGTTTATGTGGGGAACCCCATGTACAATTTCAAAACAGTATGACTAGCATTGTGATAGTAGTATACAAAGAACAATAGGGGCAGTGTGAGTATAGTTTAAGAGTAAGAGCTCTCGGGCGCCTGGGTGGCTCAGTCAGTTAAACGGCTGCCTTAGGCTCAGGTCATGATCCAAGGGTCCTGGGATCAAACCCCGCATCGGGCTCCGTGCTCAGTGGGGAGTCTGCTTCTTCCCTCCCTCTGCCTACCACTCCCCCTGCTTGTGCGCTCTCTCTCTCAAATGGATGAATAAAATTCTTAAAAAAAAAAAGAGGGGCGCCTGGGTGGCTCAGTCGTTAAGCGGCTGCCTTCGGCTCAGGTCATGATCCCAGGGTCCTGGGATCGAGCCCCGCATCGGGCTCCCTGCTCCGCGGGAAGCCTGCTTGTCCCTCTCCCACTCCCCCTGCTTGTGTTCCCTCTCTCGTTGTGTCTCTCTGTCAAATAAATAAATGAAATCTTTAAAAAAAAAGAGAGCTCTGAAGTCAGACAGACTTGAGTTTGAATATATGCTCACTTATAGGAAGTGACCTCAGGAAGAATATTTCACTTCTTCAAGTCTCTTGAAGTTGTGAAGATTTAAATAGTGCATGTGAGTCATTTAGTGCAGTCCTGACACATAGTAGATTTCATAATGGGGGTTGTTTTTATTGGATCTACTTCATAGGCCCTAGAATGCAAGCTCCTGAGTATGTGTCTTGGCCACTAGAGCCCTGACACCTGAAACAGTGCCTTGCATGAAACACACACTCGATAAATATTTTTCAATTTCATAAACGTCATCTACCAGGGAAGATTTCTTAAAATGCCACGTGGGCTAAAATGAATGAATGGGATTTGCGGGGAACTGCCGAGGGAGGCAGTTTCAGGCAATGAAAACATATGAGGCAATGAGAACAAAGACAAGAACATGCCAAAGTTTCCAAAACTATGCACTACTGTGAGTATGTAGTTCATTGTGACTGTGAGTGTCACTAATGTGGATGACAACAGGAAATGAAAAAAGTAGGCTGGGCCTAGATCCTAAAGGGCCCTGTATGACATGCTAAAGAGAGTGGGAATTATATTCTCTGAGCCATAGGAGGTTGTAGAGACGTGGAGGGAAAAGTGGAGGAAGAGAAGCAATGGGGAGAACTGGGTCTATAACATCTCAATCTTACAATGTGGCAGCCAAGAGATGAAGGATCAGGACATAGAAGTTTATTATGAATAGGTGCAGAGATAACCAATAGAGGAAGAAAAAATAACCATAAGACTCTGGCTAAATGCTTGTCATTGTAGGAAGTAAATAGATAATATCCATAATTGATATGGGAAGAAATAAGATTAGGAGCATGCTATTCAAAGATATGTATGGTAATTGCCAAAAGAACTAAAAACAAATCGTAAGAGTGGTTGCCTCTGGGGAGCAGGACTGGAGGTGTGGAATAGGGGAGGGTATTATAAGCTCTTCTTAAATTTGTAGTAAACATTTTTTAAAGGATTGCATCAGAGGAAAGATATCATTCTTTTATTAAGCACTTACTGTATGTCAAGCCGTAAAGACCCCATCACCTCCTTAGTGAATGAGGCTCCCCACTCATGAGCCTGCAGAGATTGTACCACTGGCTACCTTTCTAGAACACACTAGACTAGTACTTGTCTGAAAGCTCCTGTGCTTTCTGTTCCATCTGTTCTTTCCAAATGTCTTGGCATTACTAACTCCTTATTATTCAGTGTTCATTCAAACACCTTTCCCAATGAGGCTATCTTGCCCACCCTACCTGAACTTGCTCCCTTCACCCCTCAACCAATTACTTTCTATCACATTGGCCTATTTTACCTTCTAATAGCACTTACAACAACTGAAATCACCTTATTTATTTGTTTATGCTATATCTTCCCTACCACAATGTAAGCTTACAAGACTGGGATCTCATCCATCTTGTTTACCACTATATCCTTAGTACCCACAACAGTGCCTGGTAAATAGTAGATGCTCAATAAATATTTGTTCAGTGAATGAAGTCTTGCAGGCATTCTATGGACCTCTAACATTCTATAATGTCCTTGAAGACTATGATAGTATAGCATTTATTTTTAATTTTTTTTTCTTGTGTCCCTAGTACCCAGGCACAGGGCCTCGTTCAAAATATGAGCTATTGTAAGTTTTCATTAGGTATTCAAAGAAGTTTATTATTTGGATGTATAAATGAATTAATGCTGTGTACTTTCTTATATGCCATCTCATTAGCCTTAACACCCTAGTATTTCCTAATAAAAATATATACACATTTAACCAGGAATGGGTTTCCCACTGTCTAGACCCTTCCAAGTGCCAAAGCTGGGGCTTCTGCTTCTAGTCCGTCTTCAGGGTCCTCTGGTGGTGAGGGAACTCATACTGTTTTGAAATGTGTGTCCTGTTGACACGGGTGAAATCCACAGAGAGCAGGTCAAGTGGGAGCCTAGCAAAGTTTTAGGGCACAGGTGGACATCCCTCACCTGGATAGTGCAAGAAGCCAAGTGCAGGTGCTATACGGGCCTCACCAGTGATGACAACAGCACTTACGGCTCCTCTACAGAGTGGCACACTCATTCAAATGTTGGGGGTGGTCTGCAGTCACTGGCCAGCAACCATCTCTTCACATGGGCTCTCTCTTCCGCTCCGCCCTTTTTTGGAAGTCAGTCGATTGGATATTAACGGTTTCTTTCTCTTTGTATCCTTAATCTAACAATCTTAGTTCTCCACCAGTCGACACAGAAAGACCTAACCACATGGAAGTGTGGGGCAAGAAAGAGAAGCTCAGCACTAACATTTCAAGACCTTTTGTCACTGCTCACAACATAGCAAATGAGAAAAACCACAACATTCCATTACCAAAATGGAACTACTTAAAACCAAAATGGCACTATTTATAGATCATATCTCACACTGTTCTGAAAATAGCACAGGGCAGTGCTGGTGGACCTCACATACATATCCAACAACAATTATAGACTTCCTGCTACATTTATCCATTCCAAAGAGTTTTATTTCTGATGACCTATTTTAAGATTCTAGCTTCCTGAGAAGGAGGAAGTAGGATCATGCCAAGATGATCTTTTTATTATAGAAAATATTACGCTTTTCAGATCTCAATTACTAGGGAAAATAATGATGTCATGAATAGTATGGCCATTTTTGGTTAAAGAAAGCCATTGAACTACTGTGATTAATTGATAAATAATGAGACCAATTTCAATAAATCCCTCAAAAAATACAGTCTTTGCTGAATGCCAACAGGCCCTTAGTGATTGGGAGGAAGGAAGGAGAGGGAGGGAAGAAGGAAAGAAGGAAAATGAGAAAGAAGGAAAAAGAAAAGAAATGCATTGTTTTCAGTTATCTAAAGGAATATTTTTGAGTCTTTGGTCACAGAGATATAGAATATTAGGGACATATAACGGACCCAACAAATGATCTGGTTCAACTTTTTCATTTTATAAGGGGGAATAAAACAAGGTTCTGAAAAATTAAGTGACATGCCCAAGCATTCATCCTTAGTGAATGGCAAAGTCGGAATAGGAATACACAGCACATAACCAATTTCCTAAAAAATAGATAGACAAGAAAAAATACCAAGTTATAAATAATTAGTATAGTACGATCTCATATTAGCAATTTTGAGGCTAGCACACATTTTTTAAAAATACATGAACAAGCTCCTCTTTAGCAATCAGAAAATTGGCATTGTTTCTTTTTACTTCCCAAACTACTTTCATCCCAATTC